GGAGGGGGATGTCCTTGCTTCACCCTCTCCTGCAGAATCGCGGAGGTCTTCTCGCATTGTTCGTTGACTTTGCTGAGGGGGGGGGAGGGGGTGGAAGCTTTATTTTCTTCCCCGATGATCGCTGCCACATGTCGCTCACGCTCGTTCGCGATCATTCATTTTCTTCATCTTGACAACGGGTCTTTGTTCTCTTCGTAATGGCGTTCACTGTTCTCTATGCAATATTTCTCTCAGTTACATTTTAATTACAAAACCCAGCCCAGAGAGTTATTATTCTTAGAATTGTTTAATGGCGTATTAAGTTTATTAAAGTTCTCAATATGATATTAATTTTAATTGTTAAGTTGGCTTTGTATCATTTAACTGTATTGTTACTGCTACAAATAGATTTAAGGAGGCCTACTTCACGGTTTATGATGCTATTAACGACTTTAGCTGGATAAATATAAGGGTAATTTAGCATACCTTATTTCATCTTACCGAAATTGATTATTACAAAGCTTCATGCCTCTGTCTATTCAAGCTGTAATTATAATGTAATGTAACTGTTTAGAATGTGCCTTTATTTAGGTTGCATGGAATTTGGAAGCCATCTCTTTCGATGATTGCAACAAAACGAAGTCCTGCTTGTTTTCACCTGCCAATTGCGACCCAGCTGTCAATTGCGTCACCATTCTCACTTTCAAGCCGGAACAGGACTACGTTGATTTTGAAGCGAGCACGGTCGAGCTAGCCCAAGGCCCTCTGGACTCAAAATATATCGCCGTCGGCTTCTCAGACGACCAAGAAATGGTACTTTATTACTAAAATCCTTTCTTACTGTAAGTTCTTCAGTTTACCAATTCCTTCAGGAAAACTACAGTACCGTTATCTAGGTCGACAGCTGCTCTGAATGTCAATTTGTCTCCACATTGGTTTGTAAATATATGAAACACAATTATAGAACAGTTTTATAGCTATATTACATTGAAAATATCGTAGAGAATACATCAGCTACTAATACCGATGAACTTTAACTAAGTTGAAGAGTAGGTGGTTGCAACTGTCCACCATATGGTACCCTTTTCCACCTTCATAACAGTAACGGAATTTCTATGAATTTCAATCAGGGACAAGCTGTGAAATAAAGCTGAATGAGTTTTACCTTCAAGTAAGAAATTGACAAGGGAGGGCCCATCGCACTCTTAGCTGATCGATCGAATTCAGCAGTAACGGATTTGTACCAAATGGGCTGCAAACGATCAATTCGAAAACTTCGACTCATATGAGACGATGAGTTTCACTAGTGAAATAAAGGCTCTAAGCGACAAATCGCATGAGGTACACAAGCATGGGTATCGAGGCTAGAATAGGAATCGGCGATCTCCCTAAATTACGAAGAAAGATCAGTCAAGGATGTCAAAAACGATGCAGCTACAAACTGGCCTCCAGTTTCGCCACGTTTCATGGTGTCAGGGAGTTAAACAACGGAACGATGTGGACAAAAATGCTGTGGATAATTATAACTTCTTATATTCAGTCAGGAACTGACTAGCAAGTTTACAAAATGACAAACTGAAGTTAAACAGGTCCGTGTTAATGTCTACGGGCATTAGTGGAATAAAACGGAAAAAAACAATTTTTATAGTCATAATGTCTACTAATTATACAATGGTTTTACGCTTTCTATGCGTCATGGCTGCAGATGACCTGATCTCCTTTCTGCTTAAAACACCGCATAGGTATAGACATAATTTGTCTAGAAGACAGGTAGTTATTAGAATGATTTTGACTTTACAAGCAGATCAGATCATGTCCAAACGAACGCTTCAGCCAATGGTTCGGTTGAAATAAATATTCATTCTTTAGGGCGATGACAGCGTCACGTACTGCCAATACCAAGCTCATGACAATTCGGTTTCAGTTGCTCTTGGCTTCAATTTGGGGCATGCTGTAAACGTACCGATTGGAAACGAAGATACGGTAAGTCAGTAAGCAGCTTTAAATATCATATGGATTCTTGTGCTAGCTATATGCAAATATATCCAGGGTGACTATGATCAGCAGTTTTAGTGATAGATGCTTTTGCGACGTTTTGTGCAGTACGCGTGGACCACAGAACAACACTCAACTGTGAAATTTTCCCTGCACAGTTGATTTTCTAGGTGTGATACCGTTACACAGTCTCACAGTCTTCGTCTGGTTTGGGTACAGTGTCCATTGATTAAAATATTGTGTCAAGCAGGCAGCGAGGTCAGGCAAGTCAACTTGGCTTCTGCCGGTCGATATGCTGGTAGCTAGCATGATATCATTTGCGCAAATCATCTTCTTCGATGCTTCTGGTAGAAGGTTACTGGCACAAATCTCAAGTAGCGACGGGGAACATAAAGCAGTTTGTGGCAGCTCGTTGTTAAGGGTCATTTCCCTTCTGATCCGCACATCGATGTAAACCCCGTACCGAGGTCGCTAACCACGGCTGGGAAAAGGCTTCTGAAAACGCCAGGTTCATCTGGCACATTGCTACTCTAAAATTTCTGCACTCGAGACCACCGACTCGCACCATATCATAATTTGATGATATGTCGCTATGTTTCCGTTTAAATCTTGCCTAGAGGAAACATGGGTCATATATGCTGACTTCGCATTATACATTTGATTATATATTGTTACATGTGTGACGGTAAGATTATGCGCATTAAAACTCCAACATGCAAGATTTTACATACTTTCGCTCTGTTACAACTAATAATGTCCTTTGAACTTAGTAATGTGCTTAACATTTAGGTTAGTCTATTAGAAGGTGGTGTAATCAACAGCACTCTGGTCTGTCGGTTCAGGCAGAAAATTATTCCTACGAAGAAGTCGAAGTATATTCGGCCACTGAACGAGTCTTATTTCTTGTTTTTAACAACAGGACCAGTTATGCCAGGTTATTTTTTTAAATTGTTCATTCTGTTGAAATATTTTAGCGTGAAACACCAGAAAGAATAACATCCGGTTACTTGAATTCCTCATTATCAATGTGATAGCTGAATGCTACATCAATCAAAATATTGAATTAATTGATTGTTTCTTGACATAGCCTAAAACATCGATATTTAAAAGCCTTGGTGCTTCCATGACAGCTCAGTTCTTTCAAATCTGCAATTCGTCTTTCACTTTTAAAGCACGTGGCATGTGCTTTGTCGTGGAACACGAAAATGGTCAGTCGCAGAGATAATGACCGGTGGAGAGATATAAAAGCATCTACAGTTTCCTCGGAAATTGGCAGATGTGCAACTGTGTTCAACCTGATGATCACATGGATGCATAAGTCATACCACTCTGTCGGTTTACCGAAACCTTGACAGTCTGATTGGCAGGGGAGAGCAGTTTCTTTTCCCTTCTTGGCAGCAGTCACCAAACATGGCATGGAACACGGTTCCCGGATCTTTTGCCCTATCATTCAAGAGTCGCGACTCTTGTTCAGACAGTTCACAATAACGGTGACAGTAAGTTTCGTCTCATCCTTCCTTGGACGCTTAATACCGACAATGGCTTCGTATCCACAGTGTGAGCTTGTATTCAAAGTTTCCCTCTCCTAGCAGCACTCCGCCTTATAGACATCACGAGTTCTATCGAAAAAGTTGTCTTCGCCTCGTTAGCTGGCAAGCGTTGCCATTTAACCAATCTCAAGATTCTTTGAAGCAGTTTCCCAAAAGTGTACTGTTGTATGCTTTGCTATGATTTTGGCGACATAATAAATCGATACGTTATAAACTCAACCGACTGGTGTCTGATGAGGAGAGGAAGCTGTCGGTGACATGTAGCAACAATCTTCAATGATTATTGAATACTGATTGCTCAAGCCTGCCGATGCTTACATTTTCAAAGCTATCAGAACAGATGGTCTGCATATGTTTAGCATTGTTGACAGAGGGATCCATCATATACGTTTAACTTCAGCTTTCTCGAAGGGTCAATCGTCCCAAATCTTGGAAGTCATTTCATTGGTCCTCTTCTGCCGGAAGTGGCTTGGAATAATGCCAGAAAGGCGCTCAAACTATTTAGTGCTCGTTCAAAGATGCAGATTTACCTCGTCAGTGTTTTGCGACATTTCAAATGCTACAACAACCCTTCCAACAAATTGCACATATAACAATAATAATAACTGAGACCCACTTATCTATTCTGGTTCACATCTGTCCTACCCCAAAATGAGCTACCGTACTTTGGGCTGTAGCTGAGAATACAGTTCAAAGTTAAATCATAATGCGAATCATTATTCTAATTGGACTTTGGTGTCATGATGCCTTAATAAAACCTTTAATATGTCAGAGCGTAAATTATCGACTTTTAAAAAATCTACAGTCATATTTTTCTAGATGGAAAATTAACGGTGCACGCATTGGATCACGACATGGACAATTTCCCGTACATCTCTGACCACAAAATCAATCTCGTCGCTTTGGGCGGTGCCATTGCAAATGCAGAGCCATATGTGTCTGAACATACGACAGCAAAAACAATTCTAAAGAAAACCCATGGTAAGTTAAAGAGTACAGTATTCATATCAAAACAGCGGCTGATCAGTCAATAAAGCGTAAGACTCACAGTGAAAGATTCAAAACCCATTTTGTTCATCACTGGTACTCGTGTCACTTCTTAAAACGTAGTTAAACGAGTACTACTTATGTGGAGGAAGTTACGTGTTATATTCACAGTTGAACTATAGTAGAAATTGCTAATAAAATAGTGTACTCCTTGGTAATGGTATTACAGCAGAGCTCGGCGTTACACCTTGGTCTAAATCGAAGGAAGAATGCCAAATATTAAACCCATTATTGAGGTGCAAGGGATACCAGCTTCTGAACGGTTTCAAACTTTCCCTTTCGTTTATCCAGCGAAAAGTCTCTTTGGATGTGAGGCCACGAAATTGAAACATCACAAGGTTTCTCTACATCATTCTCAACACGTTCATACTTATTCGTAATATGTGCAATGTTCATGCATTTTGTACATCTGTTATAATCCAATCAAAGTATCGTTTACAGAGAGTTTCGAAGTTCTTTCATTGTAGTACTCTGTAGTTTTGGAGATTGCAAATTCATGAAGACAATGAGTTACGCATGCTAAGAGAGATTCACAACATATTACTTTATTTTTCAGAACTTCCCGATGCTGTTATGAACGTTGGTTGGGTAACATCGAACTTCTAATGAGGTCAGTTCGGAAATAAGATGGTCCACGGACTGTTATGACCTGATCAGGTGCACTTCA